CATGTGGTGGGTCTGAAAGTTAAAAATTTTGGCAAGCTCTATTTTTTTATCTATTTGGACTCGAGTCTGAAAAAAGTTTTATTTTTCAGACTCTGCTTCTAAGTGAGTTATACAGGTGTAAGGAGGTTAAATAAATGTCAGTATGTCACATGTCGTGGGTCCGAAAGTAAAAAATTTTGGCAAGCTCTATTTTTTAAATCTATTTGGACTCGAGTCTGAAAAAAGTTTTATTTTTCGGACTCTGCTTCTAAGTGAGTTATACGGGTTAAGGAGGTTAAATAAATAATATAACTGTGGTCGGGGGATTTTACGTAAAACGAGATTTCGAACTAGAATAACCCACGAAGACTGTAATTGTATTGTGTCACAAGTCAAAAGACTTCTTATTGCCCAATGGCAGTGTCTAAGTACACAGTAACCGACAACTCAGGGTCTTTCTACCACCACTACAGTCTACAGCATCATCATTACTCCCTCCACCATTTGTCTTTCCACATGTTAAATCTCATTTTGTTGTGTGTTTTATAGTTTTGGTAGCGTCATTTGCCTCTCAGTGAAGCGGTGGCAATTGACGCTATGGCGCTGGTGCCATTTGCCACTGAATGAAGTGGTGTCAAGTCTGAAAAAAACTCTAATTTTTAGTTTTCTGTTCATAATGTGTTACAAACACATATAAGTTATAGATCTAGATTCCAGAAGTAGGCCACAAACGCAAACTCAAGCGGAAATTCATATATTCGGTGAACATAAGTCTGGGGGATGGGGATTAGGGAGACACACACGCTCCCACACACAGAGGGACAGAGATGCGCGCATAAGCGGAAGTTCACGAACACAGAATACCGAGCACACATATAGGCTAGATCTACTCACTAATGCAAAAGAGCTCCCAATTTACTCGGTGGCAATTGACGCTGCGTCAATTGTCAGCTCCAATTTACTCGGTGGCAATTGACGCTGCGTCAATTGTCACCGCGTCACTCGTTGGCAATTGACATTGTCTATAGTTTTTCTGTAATTATTTTAAAAAAAAATCACATTGCACATTGACAGCTGTGGCCTCTTTTCAGCACCACCTCTTCCCCCCAGCAAGCCAGAGAGTGTGAGGTCGTCACACGCAACCTCATTGGTCGACATAATTAACTGTGCCCTCAACTCAGTTCGGTTGTTCTGTTCATTCTAATGATGCAGGGACGGCCAATTCAGAATCCGAATATAATTTTGGTCTAATTGGACTCGAGTCCGAATAGTCACTTCGTAAAAAATTACCATTTCTTCTATTGTTGCCTCTCATCTCATGTGCTGAATATGGTGTTCAGCTAATATAGGTCCTTAGTCTTGTGCGATTAAAAATTTTTTGAGATCTTTTTTTCAAAGTGGCTATTCGGACTCAAGTGCGAACAGCCGCTAGAGGCTATTCGGACTCAAATTCCAGTGCACGTGCGCAATCACCGGTTGTACCGTAAACGAGGTCTATACTCGGAGTCCTTATAGTCTCCCATTGATATTCGGACTTAACTACTGGTAGGCTATTACACTGGGTTTCACGACTACAAAGGGATCAAAACATAAATTGATAATCAGTCCTTATAAGACAGCCCCCCCCGTCTCTCTCTCTCTCTTTCTCTTACTTTTCTCTCTCCATCTTACTTCCCCAGGCCCTCCCAACCACCTTATCTCCTTTTTTTTTATAGATCTATATTCCCTCCCATACCGTTGCCCACTGCCTGGCCCTACTATTATATTATCCTTTGTAAAGAAAAGACCACAGTTCGCAGTGGGTCACTACATCGGCGTTTATTTGTTGTAAGTTCCTTGGCCAGATCGTAGAAACCGAGGACGGCCAAGATCGAATTGCTTGTCTGCTTCACGTCCTAGTGATTGCGCACGCGGACACGCATTGGAGTTTAAGCCCGAATAGCCATGGAAGGCTATTTGGACTCGAATTCAGACTCAAGTCCGAATAGCCGCGGCCTCTTTTTAAAATTTTCACCTTTATAGTTATTTTCACTGGGTATCTCATCACATTGAATTGTTGAAATTTACTTCATTACTAATTTGCTCATCTTTTGAGGTCGAGCTGATATCAAATCTCTTTACTTCAGAATGGCCATTCAAGCTGGATGGGTGGTTGGCGTGTGGTTTGCTCCTTTTTTCCTATCAAACGTCTGTCATCCTTATCTCCCCTCTTTTTTGTGTTTGTTACTCTCTTGTAACACCTCTAATCTTCGAGTGTTGTTCGTCAAGTTGAAGAAGTCCTATATTAGTTCATGTGCAGCTGAATTTAGTTGTCAGATGAAAGTATTATGAAATTATTTTTTCGAAGTGACTTTCTCAGAACGTTAGGGAAAATAAACCTGAACTCTATTTCTCCGAATGGTTTCCGTTCTCGAGATTATTTGGTTATTTGCGAGATTTAGGCGTCATCTTTCACTCTGCCATTCTCTGACGACTGCCCTTGGCAGTAACCTATTTTGCATTGAGTCACCCTGCAAAAATTAAAATCTTTCATTAAAAAAACCCCTTCACGCCCCTTCACACCTTACACACGCACACTCATGACTCACACACACACACTCACCACACACACACACATGCACACACACGACGTGCCACTCCATTCACAATTATCTTGAGCAAAATCCCAAGAGATGATACTCACCTTTAACTACTACTACATGTCCAGTTATCTTTTAAAAATATTTACAATGAGCTTTTAGGGGCTTTTAACTCCCTCAGTCATACTTTCTTATAAACACCTGACCATTATTTGTCATTCTATGGTTCTTGGACAAATAATATTGAAGACATACTTCCTTGTAGGAGACACCTTTTTATTTTTTGTTTTATGAAATCTTGACTGTTCATACTGCTTGAGATTGTTCTGCTCCTAGTTATTTCTGGCTTTGAAAAAAGTACTTCAGATTTGCAGCTCATGCAGTTATGATTTGGGGGGGGGGGGTGTTCTGTATCGAGTCCTCAAAAGAACTTTTTTGTGTGGATAGTCAATTTGTTATTTATGATTAAAATTTCTTTTCCAGCTCTGCGGTCTTAAGTTTGTAAACAGTGTTGAAAAAGGTGTTAAATCTTTACTATTTTTATTTTTCCAGCTCTGGGAGCCGCCTATGGAACTGCGAAGTCCGGAACTGGAATCTCTGCCATGGCTGTTATGAAGCCTGAATTGATCATGAAGTCCGTCATTCCAGTTGTCATGGCTGGTATCATTGCTATCTACGGTTTGGTGGTGGCTGTTGTTATCATCCAAGACATTCCTTCCACTGGATACTCTTTGTACAAGTAAGATCAAAACCTATTTTTTTTTACATTGTACTAGATTGTATCCTAGTAGCAAAGTGGGATTGGTTTGTTTCAGTCTGTTGGCCCCAATACTATACACCCCCCCCCCCCCCCCCCCCACACACACACTCATGCACACAAATTTGACAAAGTGCACACACTACCATGACCAATCTCAATGTTCGTGAACAGACATGTTTCAGTGTGCACACTACCAATCGGATTCATCGGACTGAGTCAGGGCCAGCCAGATTTTCATTCATGGGTGAGGGAGAAGCTACTGCAAATTCAAACGTATTTGTTTTTATGGTCGACTTGCTTGCACTGTGCCAGAATGGTATCGTTTGCCCCATACATGAAGGAAAATCTGCCCCCCCTCCCCTAAATCTGATGAATCAGATTGTCAGTGTGTAATAGGTATAGTGTCAGAGTTCCAAAAACCAAATGGGGGCGCACACAGCCACCGCTCCCCCACCCCCAGGCTGATATTCTGATCAGCCAACCTATGCGCATAGTTGTACATATTTCACGTTCTTGCTTTGTCCAATCTCCTGATAGTTCCCAGTGTTGCGGGTTCCCGCTAAATGCTGAAGCACCAAGAGCTAATTGTTCATCTAATTACAAACTGTCAGATTTGTTCAAGACCCTCACCCATTGTCAAGGAGGAAGGGGGTCGTACAGGGTGTTCGCTTGGGTAGAGTCATTCTAATAGAAAGAACACGGGGTGGTTGTTAGAGCAGGTTCAATTGCAGAACTTGTTTGATGTACACTCTTCCCAGTTTATTATGTGGGTGGTTGGCGGGTGCTCTGGTGTGGTTTGCTTCTTCTTTCCTATCTATCATCTATCGTCCTTATCCCCCCCTTCTTCTGTTTTTATGTTTGTTACTCTCTTGTAACACCTAATCTTCTGGCGCTCTTATATGACCATATATATGCAGTTGCGAGCGCCGTAAAACCTCTACTAAAATTAAACAGTTTATTACATATTCTGGCAGGGCTGTGGTCCGTTCCTTTTGTCTGCATGGTAACTTATCCAGATGCATTATTTCTTTTATTCTTCTCTAAATGTGACTGATTTGTTTTAGGTCAACTTTATCATAAACATTATTTCAGGTATAGTATGTCTTTCTTTGATTTGGCTTGTATGGTTGTTGTTGTGATCACGATATACTTCCTAGTAGTTTTGATTAGATTTTCACACATTGTCATTATCATCCTCAGGAGTTTCCTCCATCTTGGTGCTGGCTTGAGTGTTGGTCTTAGTGGTATGGCTGCTGGATTTGCCATTGGAATTGTAGGCGACGCAGGTGTGAGAGGAACCGCCCAACAGCCACGGTTATTCGTCGGAATGATCCTGATTCTTATCTTTGCGGAAGTGTTGGGTCTATACGGGCTCATTGTGGCTCTTATCCTGTCTGTGAAATCATAAAAATCTTTCAACAAACGAGACAGCAAATCGCATTATACAGATCTACTGAAAATAAGTTATTATAGTATTTCCTATTCGAACCTAAGGAGTTTTCGTGTTCAAAAGTAGTGACTTTTTTTTTTCCTTTCTCCTTTCGTGTTATATTAGACATATATATGGTGTAGAGTTTATTTGGGTGTCTATGAAATGCATGACAGATGTCTCAGTCAACCTGATAGTGCAAAATGCATAAGTTTCTAAAGTATTTAGTTATTTATTAAACTTACGCCCTATTCTGTAGGAAGCACAAATTAAAAAACGAGAAAGCAGCGTCTAGATTAGCCAGAAATGTTTTTCGTGTAATTTGATTATTTCTTCTTCCTATGAGGGGATTGGTTCTTTCAAAAGTCTCAATGCTTGATGCGAAACCATGAGTAACCAGTCCCACTGAATACTTAAACTGCAAAAACTTTTGGTCCCTAGTAGAAAAATAAAACTTCCTATAATGAAGATTGGGGTCTTCAAGTGTGAGAAGCTGAATATCTGCGTCATTTTTTAATATTTTTTTTTGTTTCAGTGCCAATCAATGTACGAAGACCGGGATTTGAGATTGGAGCACACTTTAGCGTGTGTAACATAATTTCCTATCCGTTCCCTATTTTTGTCTGTGATGCAGATGCTTCAAATTCATGCGCTTTCCTTTATGGGATGTGCTCATCGCAGACTTGATAAGAATTACTATCCACCTGAAATAGTTGATGAGAAGAAGATGTATTTATGGAGAAAAAGTGGGTTTAAAAAAAATGTATATGTTTGAATAGGATGTACATCTTAAATTTTTTTTTTTTAACGTATGTACAAATCCCTTCCTTTCCACATAACCCATTTTTTATGTTAATCAGGCACATTGTGTTAAGCAGCTTCTTTGCTTCATTCTTTTTGGTATGACCCGTAGGATAATCATATTTTTGTATTAGCTTTTGTATAGTCAGTTGTGTCACTGTCCCTGTATTGGCTGTGACACAGAATGAAACTTCTGATCCGCCCGGTTCTGCTTGGGCATTTAAAATTTACCGTCTTTACTTCAAGATGTTTATTTTTCTTCTTTGTGTTTGAAAGCCATAGCGCAAAAGAAATATCATGCATAATTCTGTCCCCTCCAAAATGTAATTTTTTGGCACTAAAACATTTCACCTGTGGCTCTTCTTTATTTCGTTGATGGAATTAATGTGTAGTCTCCTCCTTTTTTTGAGAGAGTAAGTTTTTAATTAAAGATATCATGTTTAAGATTTTGGTTTCGCTTAGTGCTATGACCTCAGTTGAAAATATGAACATTCCAAATGCACAAAGGCTATCGTTTATGTTATAGTTTTATTTGTTTAAGTCAGTTAAGGGAGATGGACCTTTATTTTCGAAGTAAAGAAATCTCAAGAGTCGCCCAAAACCCCGCCAGGCTACTATGATCTCCCTTCCTGGTTGTGCTTCAAACTTCAAATGTTAAGTAATTAGTTAGGGATGGGCAGTAGCAGTAATATGGTGCTTCTACTGACAAATTTTCCCGTGGGTCTTGCAGTCTTAGCAGTGACAGCTGACACGTTCTTAGGCTTTGTTGTCAGTTCAAACGCATCTTCAGTTCTCCCCACTGACACAGTTCCATCATTTGTTGACATTGGCTTTTGGTACGTGCTCTAAGTCTTACACCACTGTATTTTCTTTCGGGTCTTTATAACAAAATTTCTTTTATTAATGTACTTGCTTTATGTTATTTTTAATTATTCTTCATTATCATAATTTGTCATTTTTGTGATTTGACAGTAAAGACAATTCTCATTCCTTCATCCTCATTGACAATTTTTGTTTTTTGTTTGTTCATCCCGTGATGGATCAGCTCACAAGTACAACAATGTACCAAAAATGGAAAAAGGGAATTTTCTCACCCTTTGCTTTGTAGATATATAAACCCTGTAGTGTACAGTGTCAGGAAAAGTGTGCATGGATATGTATCTGTTTTTTCTGAGGGGAATGCTACATCTACTATATGTGAAGAATGCTTTAAGTCTACAAGTAGAGCTGTGATAGTGAAGATGTTTTCTCTGTTTAGTTTGTTTTTGTTCTCTGGTTGTTGTCACTCCCCCCCCCACCTTCCCTGTATCCTATTATTCTGTGTGAAGCGTACAAATACTTTGTGTAGTAGCCTATGTGTGCACGTGGACCCACCACCACTGGAGCACGGCAACATTTTGTTTCCAACTGCCATGGTTCATGGTCAAGCTGTGACTGTACTGTAGATGCTCATCATCTAAAAGGGTGAACCATTAAAAATTTTTTTTTTTTTTTTTAAATACTGGTACTTCCCCATCCTCTATGGTAGACTTCCTCATTTGTAGAACTCATCGGCATTTGTGGATTTTGTCTTGTCCGTGATTTGGTGGTGTCTGTTTGCAGCCACTTGTGTTGTAATAGGAATGTATGGATTTTGTTGTTAGCCCTTTCAGGTGTAAATCTTTTAAATTCTATTGATGTGAATTTGGTCAGTTCCGGTTTTCTATTTTTCGTTCGATGAAAACCCATATATTCATGTTTTGATTTTCTTTTCTTCAAGCATATTGATTTTTCAGCTTTATGATAGGTAATTATGAACAGAAACAGACAGGCTTGAAGTGCTGAAATATTTCTCATATTTTTGTTTCCAATCGTTGCGGTACCTTCTTTAGAGATACTGGACTCCCTTTTTATACTATAAAAGAGATCTGATAGTAAAATGTTTCATGACATAGCATTGATCTGAAAGGGTTAACACAATAAAATGGTTTGTACAATAGGTTAATCTCTGCGTGTACAATTTCTGGTCAGTATATTGATGGTGATGCTGCTTTGTGAGGATGCTGATGTCGACACCAGCTGCTGGAAGGGATTTTGCAAAACTTAAAAGATTTTGTGATTGTGAGTCTGTATTGCAGGCATCATGGAGATCTCACATTGGTAGTAAATATTGTCAATGGTTGTATGTGTGTGTCAGTCACTATGGGTTATATTATTTCACTTATTTCATCGGTGTCATGCAGTTGCGTCAAATAAAACAGGAAATTCCTATCATGTTCCGTAGTTTTGTTTGATTTACATGTGTGTTTTTGTACCCTCTTAGTCTTAGTAAATGGAACTCCTTCTATCGACAGCTCAGTGTAAGAACTCTGATCATGCATGATCTCAGTTGTAAGAGCGGCATCAGCAGACATCACAGTTTACGATTTAAAATGACATAAGGCGGAGTCCTACACTGAGCGGTTGATGTGTTTTTAGTAGTAACACAAACATGGGGGCACGGGTGTAGTGACAAAATGGTAATTTTGTTAACTTCCCTCTGCTTACCATACTTTTAAGAACTTTAACTAAATTCTATGATGAGCATGAGAAATTTCAGACAGAAAGTGGAATTACTGGCCTTTGGCCTGACTGGCTCACAAGTTGCTCTTTTTATTGTTAGTCCATCACACTCCCTTGTGTTGTGTGAAATCTTTTTGTACTTGCCCCCACCATTTGTTGTGAAGGCTTTGTGGACCACCAGCTATATGTTTTATGACCCCAAATATATAGTATGGCATGGCCATAATCGGTGTTGTGCCCCAATTGGTACGGTACTCTGAGATTTTCTTTTGATTTCTTTACGGGTGGTTGGACTCGGAGGGCACCACTGGTTTTGGTTTTACTTCTTTACTTTCTCCCTTCTATGTCTGTCTTGCTGTTTTTCTTAGCTCTAAACTATTTGCCGAGGAAAGAAAGAGCAATGTAACTTCACAGTTCGTGATTTTGAGAAAAAAATAATAACAGAATTTTGGTGCTTTGACATAAGAAGTAGAAGGCTATGGGCTAAATCAGTGTGACAAACCAATATAACCTGACAACTTGGATTTTGTCAGATACACTGTTGTCTTGAGATGGCGCAGAATTTTGAAAAGACTTACTTTTTTTCTGATGTGCTTCTCTTTTACTCAAACAAATCTCCATTCTCTTCGTTCTTGACAAAGGAGCTCCAGGATCAGAATATGCCTTGATTTTCACTGTATTCAGTAGAGTTTGCCTCTACACATGACATTGACATGTGTATTGTCTCATCTTATATCTTTGGTGTCGGACTCGAACTGTGTAGCCGCCAAATTAGGTAAAACTAAAACACATTTGTTTTTGATTATATTCCAGAATTGCTCTAGTTTTGTGTAGAGTTCTTTTTAATTACTGATCATAGTTTGGCAATACTACTCTATTAGTATTGCCAAGTGTAATTATAGTTGTAAACAACTCTTCAATTGCAGTTAGTTAAGTAAGAGGGCATCGGTAGATCCTACTTCTTTTCTTTCCCTCAGTTGTTTCTGTCTGTCCTCTTACTTTTGCCCAGCACTAGATGACCATTATTTGTGCCACGACGCAGTGGAATCAGCCGCTCATCAATTTCGGGGCAGGTGGAGTTTTTGGTTATTGGTATCATCTTCAAGCTTGTCATTGTCTCGCTTTCGATGGCAAAAAAATACTCATCTATATCCTGGAAACAGAATTCAAGATATTATTTGTGGTTGAAGATGACGGGGTCGCCTTGTTTCAGGGGTAAAATTAGTAGAGAGTATGGCCGCCAAAGTTTGGTGACTTCCAAAGCTCGAGAGTTCATGGAAACCAAAAATTATCATTTCTTGGTGCCTTTCTTTTTTTTCTGTAAAACCCAAACAGAAATGTGTTTTTAATAATGGAAACAAAAGATGTTGAACCAAAAAACAAAACAAAATCTATAAAAATTGCCAAACAAGCTGAAAAATACCTCCTTTTTCGATTTTATTTCATATTTTGATTTTTAATGAGCATCTGATTTCACCAGGATGTCTCACATTTTCACGTTTTGTGTTGATGGGCTTCTCTAATCTCTTTACTTCTTTACTAGAACTAACAAAACTCCTCAATAACATAACTTGAGTAAAAAATATGTTTGACCTAAATTAGCGAATGCAAAGTTAAAGTCAGGCACTGATGGCGGGTGCTCTGGTGTGGTTTGCTCCTCCTTCCCTATCAATCTTCCATTGTCCTTATCTCTCCTCTTCCTTTTTTTCTTTTGTTTGTTACTCTCTTGTAACACCTCTAAATTCTAATCTTCGGCACTTATATATAACCTAATCGTGTTGCAAGTGCTGTAAAGCTCTAAAACTTATACCCAGTAACATAGTTTGGGTCAAAAAAGAATGTTTGATCTAATTTGGATACAGTCAGACACAGTGGGTAGTTGGCGAGTGCTCTTGTGTGGTTTGCTCCTTCTACTTCTTTCCTTATTATATCGTCCTGATCTCTCCTTCTTTTTTGTGCTTGTTACTCTCTTGCATAGAGTTACTCCCTTTTAAACCTATAGTGTACATCTATTCTCTCTTGTAACACCTCTAACCTTTGGCACTTATATGACCTTATTGTGTTGCAAGTGCCGTAAAACTCTTACTATAACTAAACAGTCTGACCCCGATATATGTGAGTGTGCCCAACTTGTTATATTATAAGTTATAGTATAGTATAGAGTACGGTGCATGTGTTCATACATTACATGTAGTATGATGTAGATCATTCACAAGTGAGCGCTTTCCTTCGTTGTCTTAACAGTCAAAGAACTTCTTTACTCAACTTACTTCATACTCCATGTTATTGGGTGCTCTGGCGTGGTGTGCGCCTTCTTTCCTCCCATTCTTAATTAATCTCTTTTTCTTCTGTTCTATGTATGCTACTGGAATCTTCGGCACTTATACTTATACGACTTCGGTTGCAAGTGCTTAAAACTCCCCCCCCCCCCCCCCAACACGTTTATGTTCATTACCGTCACAACCACCATCTTGGTAATAATACCATGGATGGGTGAAACATTGAGTAGTGTAGTGCCTAGGTTTGTGGTAAATGCTACGAACCTTCTAGTGAATGTGTTGGAAAAAAAGTATTTTTACGCCTCCATCGTCACAATTTAGATAATTCGTCATGGCCAACCCAGGGGAGGGGGCATCTTACAACATCCCAGCACAACACCGGAGATGCATCTTAATAATGCATGAACTAAAAAAAAAAAGACAACCCCAAAAACCATCTCCAAACAAGAATCGAACTCGGGTCTTTCAATACTTTCATGCTATGATGGACGCTGAACTGCTGCTACACCCATAAGCTGGTGGTCTTTACTTTCAGAACTGTCATCATCCTCTCCTTCAAATCTTTGATCCTGCTTCAAACACAAAGTTCAAAGTGGTATTCCTCCTGTTCTTTCTACTTTTGACTTTGCTGAGAGGGATAAGCAGATTCAGGGCCCTCCGTCAGATCAATTGGTATCATGCTGGTCTATGGAGCGGATTGCCACGGTTTGAACCCCAGACTGGGTGTTGGTGAACTCCAGTCGTTATGTGGAGTTTTCAAGGTTCTCAACTCGTTTTGCTCAGTCTAATCTTATTGGAGACGGGCGTTCAGTTCGAAGTTCCAGCCTCTTAATTAAATGACCTAGCTACGCGTCAATCTCACGACTTGAAGAACTGGGTGTCTTCAGGAGGGGATGTAGCAGAACCAGCATGGTGCAGGGGACGGAAAGACCAAATGAACGCCGGAACGATCAGCAGAATCAGATGGACTCTGAGGTGGATATTGGAGCGGGGAGCGGAGCACGTGTCGTATGGCAATGCCTGGAGTGCTACATGTATGATGTTGTTCCCAGGATCAAGCAATGTAATCAAAGTAACCAAGATTTTAACCTAACTGTGTTTATAGGGGCGTCAAATGATGGTGGAGACCTCAAACGAACTTAGTAATTGAAGTAAGTTCAATACAGCTTATAAAAAATATATATTGACTTTCACTTTCCTCCATTGTTTGAGGAAAGAGAATCACATTGACAACAATAACGGTCATATGGTGCAGGGAAGAAGCAAGGCAGATAAACAGAAACAACAGAGGGAAAGAAAAGAAGGACCTGCTAGTGGTGCGCCCCCAATCCCAACACACGCCACGTTACCCCTGAATTCAGTATCATTCAAATGTTTCACACTCTAACGAACAAAACTATTTCCTTAAAAAAAAAAAACCTAACGGTTTCAGTTCAGCTTACTACATGTAATAGGTACTTGGCAAACGACAGTGATGAAGATGTGTGGTGAGAGCATTTAGGTGCCCCACGCAAAGTGACAGTGACGACACACATTCTCTGGTGGACAGAGGTGGAATATGGTTGGCCATAACACGATACAGTATTATTATTGTTTAGTTCAAGTTCAAGTGAAGTAAGAATTTTACGGCACTTGCAACACAATTAAGGTCATACAAGTGCCGAAGATTAGAGAAGTTACAAGAGAGTAAAAAACACAAAAAATGAAGGAGAGATCAGAACGATAATATGTTTGACAGAAAAGAAGAAGCAGACCACCCGCCAACCACCCGTAATTATTGTGGAGTTTTGAGGTGTGTCTTTGATCAGAAGGAGAAAGAGCACAAGTCATACGCTACAAGTTCAGTATCAACTCAACTTTTTCATCGTGGTAAACTGCGCAAACGCCCTTTATTTGCCATGGAAATGGAGTCACCACGAATTTTTAACTCCAAAATTATGGTCTTATTTTAGTCTTTAATAAAAATCTACTGTATGCCATCTGACACTTCAGAGTAAAAACATGATGTGAACATGTACTTGATCTGCATGTAATTCCAAAATTTCCAACCTTTTGCCATTCGGTACTGTGGTAAAATATTCTTCACCACCACCCCCAGCCCCTCTTTAAGACAAAAATCAGCTACATTAATACATTATAAATGTAGATCAAATCGTAATGGAAAGGAAAACCAAATAAAAACAGAGGACAATTTTGCGTATGTTTCATCAGTTTTATTCTTTGTGGGTAGTACATAAAAAATCTCAAACTAAGGTGCGAAATTCGCGACGCACGATGACAGTGCCAGGGTAGAATCACATCTGCATAATTACAGGCGTATTCACGATAGAGCTTTCACAGCTTAGCCTTCCCATACTACGTAGGACAATAATATCACGTATAGTATAGCAAACATCAGTCATTAAAACACACAAACCTTGGAAGAACAAGTCTGA